CTGCCTCTCTCTTCCAGCCGGGCAGGATCCGTCCCCCTCCCACAAAGCTGCCCTGGGAGCGCGGCAGCAAGTGATGGCCATCATGAGACCAGGCCCTGAAGACGGTAAGGGGGGGCTGGGGGGGCCGCCGGTCGCAGGGCAGTGCTGCCCCCTCTGCCTAGGGGCCAGACCCAGCTCTGGTTGAAGCCACTGGCCCTGCTCCCCAGGGCCTCTGTGCCTGCTTTCTTGGTCCCCTCTTGCACTACAGCCCCAAGGGGTGGCAATTGTGTGTCGAAGGCTGGAGGGGTCCAGAAGGGCGCAGAAGAGGCTGTTTGAGCCTCTGGAGCTGAGATAACTCCCCGACAATTCCCCCCACCAAGGAAGCACCAGTCCCTGGGGCAGCTCCTGGCGTGGGCACATGGCTGAGCCGCGTGACAGGGACCCCGGTGAGGGGACACGCTGTCCTTGCGCTGGGGCACGGGGGTCCCCAGCGCTGCAGCAGCCTCAGCTGTAGCTGTACTCTCCCCCGGCCTCCCCAGCGCCCCGGCTGGACTTGGGCAAGAAGATGAGCACGCCGCAGGACCTGATGATCGAGGAGCTCTCCCTGCGGAACAACCGCGGCTCCCAACTCTTCCAGCAGCGCCAGAGGCGGATGCAGCGCTTTGTCTTTGAGCATCCCAGCGGCTACAGGGAGGTGGGTCTGCGGCTCATCTCCTGGCTCCGAGTGGGACAGCCCTTCCCCAGCTCTCGCAGCCTTTGCAGGGAAGCAATTCCTCGTGGGGCTGGGGGTCATGCCCTGCCTCAGCAGGGCGGCCGTGCTCAGCTGCCCGCTACGCCGAGACGAAGGGAGAGTATAGATGGCTTGGTGGGCTGGGCATGGAGATGGGCAAGCACCAGGGTCAGCATCCACCGAAGAGCAAGGGTGCCGGTCCCCCTCCGCACCCACTAACCCCTCTCTTTGCCTCCTGCAGCTCCCAGGGCTGGGGGCAGGTGGCTCACACCGCACCGAGAAAGGCGACCCAGAGGGAACGGCAAATGAGTGGATGGTGAGTAGGTGGAGGAAGCTCCAAGGTGCCTCCTGAGTCCCGACCGGGGCAGGGAGAGCTCCCCGTGCCCCGCTGACTGTCCCCTCCGCAGGCAGAGGAGGACGCCGGGGGCCAGCAGAGTTATCACTCCGAGCTCCACGTGGCAGCGTTGCCCCAGGGTGGCCCACCCGAAGTGCCCAAGAAGACAGAGAAAGTCTTGCAGATGAGCAAAGTCCTCAACCCTGACGCTCTGGCCCCGGGTAAATGCCACCTACACCCCAAAGCCAAAACCCTTGTAGTCTCAGTAATGCGGGGCTGGAGGCAGCGAGCTGCTGCCTGCTGCGGGGTCCTCCCCAAAACCCTTCCCCAGAATTTATATATATAAAAATATATAACATATATTTATGTCATACATACGGAACCCTGCCCCCAACAGCAGATCCTCCGTGGCTGTGCGAAGGCAGGGCTGTTCCCAGCCCCCTCTCCCCTGCCCAGGACGTTGCCCCAGCCCGGCTGCAGCCGCAGCAGCCCACGCTGTCTCTCCCCCCCCACGCAGGATACTCAGGGCCCCTCAAAGAAATCCCCCCGGAGAAGTTCAACGTCACCGCCATCCCCAAGGGCTACCGCTCCCCATGGCAGGAGCTCCTCGGTGACAAGGACAACACTGTGCGTGGTGAGAACCAGCCGCCCATGAGACCCTCTCCATGGGACTTCAGGAGCTTCAACAGGTAATGCTGGCCGAGGTGCAGGCACCACCAGCCTGTCCATCCCTTGGCCCTTCAGCCTCAAGAAGCACCTACCACGCTGCCAGGGGAACGTAATGGTCCATGCCCTCTTTATACACTGCAGCGGAGCAGCAAGGGCTCGTGTTGCTCTTTTCCTGCTCAGGAGCTCCTCCGTGGCTCCGCTGCTCGTCTGTCCCTGCCTCCAGCAGCTCCCCAGATCTCGTCTCAGCTCCACCATCGGGCTTGTGCAGCCTCACGCAGCTTGGTCTCACAGGGTAACCTCAGGGATGACGGCTGAAATTTGGGAGCAGTCATTCTCACACACACAGTCCTGGAGAAGGAATCACTGCTGTTCCCAGCTGGGCTTAGCTCTGGGCTGGGTGGAGGAACAGCACGGACACTGCCAAGTCTCTCTCCTAATTTCCTTAAGGTATCCAAGCAGCTGCTGGAAGCGGTGGGAGTATAAGGTTAATCTTCCCACAAGGTGCTAAAAGGTCACCAGAGTCCTTCCAAACACCTGCTTGAGATTGAAGTCTCCCGGTCCATTTATGGTGGCTCAGCCTGGCAAGCTCCATGCCCTGTGTCTCCTGTGCACCTCCAAATTACACTGGGGTCGAGGTTGGGAGCAGAGACGGCCAAGGAAAGTCTCCACTCTGGAGAGGTGTTTGGTGGGCATTCAGGAGATGGAGATCTGGTGACAGCAAAGCACCAGCAGCCCAAGGTAGAACAATGAGAACTTTTGAGCTGAACATCATCCCAGGGATTCTGCAAAGGGAGGTCCTGGCTCTCCTCCTCACTGGAAGCCTCTTTCATGAGGATGAAAGTACATTAGCCTCGGTGGCCTTGCCAAAGTCACCTTCCAGCAGGCAAGCTCCCACTGGAGCTCCCTACCAGGACACAGCACTGCTCCCCATCAGACATGGCATCAACCATGGTGCTGGGCCTCTGCAGATGGCAGCTTTCCTGAGCCCGCACCAGGATTGGATTTGAGTCACGGGGGAGATGACCGCTGCGCTTTGGGCGCTTGGCAGAAGGGGCTGCAGGGAACTACAGTCCCTCTGCATGGGAACCACGTCCCAAAGGGCAGAGATCAGCCCGACCGCCGGCGGAGCTGAGATGGTGCTGCCACCGTCCCTTTGCTGCTCTCCTCTCCCTCAGCCCGGGGGCTTTGCCGTGGGGCCTGGCGAGGTGCACAGCACAAGGCTGCCGCACACTCAGCCCCCCCCCGTGTTTCCCCTTCCACGCCAGTGATAGCGTGGCAGCACACTGGTTTGCACTGGAGTGGAGCTGAGGGAGACGAGGTTAATGGAAAGGACAAGAACCCATGGGCAGCCATGGGCAAGTGTGGAGAAGCAAAGGGGCTGCCTTAGCTATTCCCTCAGGGTCTCCTTCCCAGTTACTCAGCCATCTTGAGCTTTCCTGGGGCAGTAACCTCCGAGGAGGTGCCACAGGGGGAGAACACCGAGCTGCTGCAGACACTTGGCTCTTTTCTTTCAACGTTTAGCCATGTTCCTGCCTCAGTATTTATTTATGGACGGGGACCGAAGCAAGGGCATGTTTCTGAATAATGCTTTACCCCGTACCATTTCTCCCCTCTCACATGCTGCCTTTCTATTTAAAGTCTTGAACTGTTATTTAATACAGATGGATGCTAATTTAACACCAAGCCTCTCGCCACCTCCTCTAATTCTTCACTGAGGCATGAAGATTCAGCCAACCTGCTTTTAACTGGGCTTTTCACGATCTTCCAAGCTGTCGGCTTTTAAATCACTTTTCAGTTCATCAGATACCGAACTGCAGAAAAACAAGCTTTTTGGAACAAATCAGCTAGCGAGAAGCCAGTGGTCTTGCCTAAAGCTAGGTGAATCCCAGCACAGCTCACATGGGTCCCAGGGCAAGGGCACGTTCACCATCTCAACAGCAGCTGCGTTAAAGCAGGCTGATTTATTCCCAACTTTAAATGTTCAGGCTGTGATGCAGGTCTTTGGCCTGCAAAAGCTGAACCCGAGAAGCTGGGTCGCCTTCTTGGCCAACCTTTGGCCACCTTGCTAAGGTGTGCTGCCTTAAGAGACAGCAAAAACCAAGCTTTGAAAAGAACTGTCTTTTCCCAGAAGGGAGAAAGTTTCCGGAACAAACCTCTCTCATTTACCTTCCCCTCCTTATTTCTCCCTAGGACGCCGTCACAAAACAGTGCCACGTTACGTTCGAGCAGCGCTTCCCAAAGCAAACATTCCCAGCTATGCTTCATTGATAGCTCAGCCTCCACGTGCTGCTCCAAAACCAACATTCTTGGCTTTTCGGGGGCTGGCACTCTCTTCCCTGGTCCCTTTCCACATTTCTCCAGAAAGGGATGACAGCTCTTGCCCCCACACTGCTCCTCCTGTTAGTCATAGTTCAAGAGAAGCTGTCCCAAAAGGCAGACTGGAGCCAGGGCCAAGAGAAAGACATTTGCCTGCACATGTGCTAGAGCAATCAGGGGGCAGCACTGTCAGCCTCGGCCCCCTGCAGAACACATGAGCTGCGGACAAGTCACTTTCTAAAGACCAGGGGGTTTGTCACCATCACCTGCTCTTAATCTGACCCCCTTCACAGGCAAAACACGCCTACTGCTGTTGGCAGAGGCCATCGAGAGAGACTATGGTAGAGGTAGGAACGCGCTTCCTCCCTCCCCTGCACAGCCACCCACGCTCAGGCGCCAAACCCCGCTCTCCGGGCCCACCAAAGCTTGAGGCTGGCTCTGTACAAGAGAAGCACCTCGCCGGGCCAGCAGAGACTCTAAGGGCACCCTGGGGAGGAAGAGGAGGGTTGTCATTTGCTACGGGCATTGCTCGGTTGCTGCCGGGCTCAGAGTTAGTAAATCCAGACCTGCGTTTTCCCTCAGCTTTACCGCACGCACAACCTCTCCTCGTGACGTGCTAAGTCTGCTTTTTCTCGTGCCGCAGGGCTCCCGCCCCGTTTGACAGAGCACTGGTCAGCGACCCGTTCTCTGCGCCTGCCGCGGAGCTGGACAACCTGAGCGCTCTGGAGGCGATCGCCCACAGACCCAGCTTCAACAGGGTGCCGCAAGGTTGGGTGCGGATTCTACCGGAAAGCGATGAGCTGTAGTACGCGCGCTCCCTTCCCCATCGCCACGGATGCTTTTATTGCTAGACTTAAACATACTTCGCACGGTAGGGGAGCGGGGAGCGAGTATTCTTCGTGAAAGCTAAGCTAGTGGTCTCGGGTTGTCATCTACTCCAAGGGGATTTGAACAAGCTCAAGTCTGGGACCATTTTGAATTCCCCTCGTACCAGCCATTGTCACAAGGGTGTTTAGTGCTAAGCTAATCAGCCAAGTTCTCATAGTTAATGCAAGCAGATCCCCGTAAGCTCCTGTACAAAACATCCCGGACAGCCTGTCCTCTTCCCCGCCTCGTGGAAAGCGGCAGGACCGCCAGCCACAACACACCAAGCTGTCTCGCTGCTTCTTCACCGACACGCAGGGCCTGCTCTGACAGCTGGTGCCTTTGCAGAGAAATTCCATCTTTGGGACAACTCCACATCTATCGTTCCGGTCAGGACGGGGGAGGAGGTGATAATTGAAGAGCACCAGCAAAACAAGTTACCAGAGGCACTGGCGCGTTAAGAGCAATTACCTTGGGCTTGGCTGGACAACAAAAACAAATGAGGAACCGGGCATCTGCCTGTTTATCAACACGTGTACAGCACGGCCAGGATAGATGGGAGGGGAACACTGGGAGTTGGAAACGGGTGCCTGTTTTCCACAAGCTACTGGCTAGCGGTCGGCAGCTGTTATTTTCCCCTTCCTACTGCTATTTGCATGCCTTGCTTAAATGTCTAAGCCCTTGGATTGACTTACACCAGATTTGCTTCATATAGTTCATCAATAAGGATCAGGCCCTGCCTGGACCAGCTGCGCTGCAAAATTGCACCGGTCTGAAAGATACCGCCAGGGTATTCTGGCAACTTCAGCATCAGCGGGAAGGAAAAGCAGCGCAGCCGTGACTCCAGAGCAAGCACAGGCTTCTCCGTGAACGCGAAAATCAGCAGTGAGGATTCGACTACACAAACATTGTCAGCAGTGACACACAGTGGGACACGCAGCTAACAGCAGTCTATAGGACAGTCATCAGAACATCTGGAAAACACTGCTAACCGCTAACAAAAATCTCTAACTTAATACAGGCTTTCTACAATTGCTTTTGTCAGGTTCTTAATGTTACCCTTGTTTAATCTTGCAAAAGCAGGAGCATCAGGATAAAAGTTTCTTTTTCCACCACTGTGGTTAAACTGGGCAAGTAAATTTTGCGGTAAAAATGCAGTTAACAGCTGCCTCGCTTGTGAAGTGTATTTGTAAGGCTGTGCAGACAGACGCGCAGAGGAAATCCCACACAGGGGTGCTGCTGCCACAACACACCATTCAGGCAGGAAACTTTTATTGCTCTGTTCTTCCCACAGAAGCAGGAGGGGACAAGCAAACGGAAAGAAAAGGGCCGTTCCTTAACCATTAAAAATTTATGATGCCCAGCTGCTGTCCTGTTCCAAACCCATCTCTCTCCTCTTTGTCCATCAGCTGAAGAAGCCGTGTACCCCTGGGGACCTGGCCGGGAATAATAAATAAATGGCAATAACCTAAAGCCTGCTTGCATTCGAGACCCGTCTGCACAGCGCTCACGGGCCCCGACTGCAGAGACTCGGAGCCAGAGGAGCGGCAAACGCCGCAGCCCTCCCCGACCCACCAGCAGGCCTGTGCCCGTCCTCCAGCGCCGCCCTGGGACGGCTCTTACCCGACAAAAACTAAACTAATCACCTGCAAAGCCCAGCTCTTTCTCCAGGGAAAGCCAACCTGCCTGCCAGCCGTGCCCCTGGTGCCACGCGTGCTATGCCACCTCCAACGGCCTGGCGGGGCTGGCAGCATCACACGTGCCTTCGGTGGCAGCACCGGCGGGACCCCGTGGCATGGTACAGGACAGCACATAGAACTAGAGGTGGACCCGCTGTCGTTGCCCGCTCTGCTTCTTGGCTTCGGCAGCAGCCAAATAAAAATCAAAGTCCTCAGACACTGTGCTCCAGGAAGCAGTCTAAGCAAAGTCTTGAAAAATTCAAGTATTTTAATGTATTTTTTTTTAAAACAAGCAAATGAGGCTTCAGAACAGGTCCCATCACGTTTTGCTTTACAGAAAGATGTCCGCAGACCCATTACATGAAAGCAGCTGACATACAGATAAACTTAAAATCCTCCAGCCACGTGTACGTACATCTTATTCAACGGCAGGCTCCACGCAGGACACGGCTGGTCCTGGACAGACACTCTAGTTGGAGCACAGGAAGAAAAGTTTCGTGTCTTAGCGGAGCAGGACGAAGTGGGATCCATCTCACAGTTTAAGAGGAGACTGTACCCGCAGGCCTCGGAAGCCCTAATCACGCTCCCAACATACCCAGGACAAGCTTGCAGTGTGTGTGTCCCCCCCCTCCCCGCAGCTGTCAGCAACACAAGCCCAGCCCCTGGGGGCCACCGAGGGGGCCTTCGCCAGGCTAAAACAGGCAACCGCTAACCTGTCACTCCGCCTCAGGCCCGCACTACCCGCCGGCTGCTCGCATGACCTAACACTTACCTTGCTCAGGACGTGCAGGATTAGAAGTGAAGCAGCAAAAAAAGGTTTTGGGTTGTTTTTTTTTTTTTAAGCAAGAAATCAGGAAAAAGGAGGGAGGAAAATTCTGTGGCAATAGTAAGGCAAAGCCATGGGTTTGGCACGTCTGATAAGCTTGTTTTTCAGCTCTTATTCAGTCCTGGTTTAATACCTCATTAGAATAGTAAGTCATTAGTTACCTGACAGGGAAGAGTCTCTGCTTACGCTTAAGTAGTCCGTAGCATTCAGACGGAGGATATCGAATGGGCTTGAAAAGGGTTTGGTTTTGTTTTTCCAGAAGTTTATTTCAAAAGTGTGCAAACGGGATACATGGATAGCACTGTAATTCTGGTACACCTGATCCACAGACCCCCCCGACAGCCCTTCTCCCCCCCCCAACACTACATGAAAGATCTGGGATGTATCAACGATCCGACTAGCTAGCGGAGACACGGAGCTCAGCTTGCCCAGTGTCTGCAAGCAGGGAAATAAGGCTTCTCTAGCTCACCCACAGCTCAACATATAGCGCTACCATGGTAACTAGAAAATAGCATTTACTTCAACGACGAGGGTGGCACGACGTGCTAGGGACTGCTGTGCTTTCCCGCATGGGCGCCCATCCTCTGGGGATCTTGAGACGGGTAGTGAATGGGGCCCGGGGCTCTCATGAAGGGAGGCGGGGGCCCCATGGCGTGGAACATATGTGGTCCGAAACCTGCAGAAACAAGGTCGGCAGCTTCAGACAAAGCGGCAGAACCACCGATGCAGACGTACTACTGCTTGAAACCACCGACAGAAAACAGCTGGCTTACAGCCATGCCTTAGGAAGGTGCACACCTCCCATGATTCTTCAAATCCCCAAACTCCTTCCCCTCTGTCCAGTACAACTGGGGACAATCCTTACCCAACACACCCCCTTACTCACAGATAAAAGCTGGTGGGGGACTGGACAAGTGTCTAATGCCCGTCTAAATGCTTTCTACTCAACCGTGGAACAAAGCAAAACACATCCACAAGAGTCTGACAACCCCAGGGTCCCCAGACAGATATATATACACACGCAGTCAAACACAGGCTGGCGTTCAACCAGCCGCGGAATTACCCTTTGAAGTTCAGGTTAACGTGGCATTTACACAGCCAGCAAAAGCACTGTGCAGGTCTCAGTACCAGTAACAGGGATCTCTGACATGCCTGAGAATTTGCAAGTGAATACATACCACAACAGGCAGCTCAGTTTAATTGAACTGTGCTGACAGCTCATTTTAGATCATCGGTTTACATTGTATGATCAGGCATGAGGAAAATCAACTCAGGGCACGCATCAGTGCTACAGCACAGCCGAGCAAGGAGGACTAGATCATCTAACACCAAGTTAGACACCCCCACTCGAAGGGGAAACACAAGTACCTGGAGGTGGTGGCGGAGCAATGCCAGGAGGAGGTGGCAAGGCAATGTTAACCACGGCTGGAGGGCCACTTGGAGGTAGGTTGAAGTAATTCGCAGAAGCCTCCTCTTCTGCAGCTGGAGGAGGGGGGAGAGCTGCAAAAAAAGTACACGGTGGTTATGGAAAAATCTCTCAGTCTAGATATGCAGAGGCATCCGCCTTCAGAGAGGAGGCGCAATCAGTTCTTCCAGAAGGGCAAACTGCTGCTACTGTTGCACACCTGAACTGGAGCAAGAGGCAGGACCGCACTGAAACTCCGGAACAGTCACCATTTGTCTTCACCCGAAACCAGCTTTGCTTTTTCCATCATACAATACTCAGTGGATTAGGAAAACATTAACCAAGCCTTGAAAAGCGTGTGTTGCCACTACCCCGGACCTAAGTAACTTTAATTCAGCTTTAACTTTTCACTCATCACATAAAGAACTCTCTTTTCACCAAGAATCCACTTCTAGACAAAGCTCCCCTCCCACCCTAGTCGGGTCCGCTGCAAACCTACTGTAACTGCCTGCTCTGGGCTCACCAGTGCCTCTACCGCCCTGACCTCCGTTACTGCGCTCAGAGGTTTAACACCAGCCTTGCTCGTGGAAGCAGGTCAGCATTAAGTGTTTCAGAGGTGAAAACAACTCCCTTACCTCCAGGAAGTCCTGGAACTGGCTCCAGCTTTATCCCGGACTCTGTAGTACCTTCCTTGTCCTTTTCTTTTCCTCTTGCTGCCTGGGACCTAAAAACCAGACAAAAGTTTGAGAACAAGGATGAGAAAAAGCAGGATAAGCAGATATTCACACCACAGTAGTTTCACAATATCTAATTCAGATCCATTGCTTCAGGCCAAAGATGAAAAATTTGCAGATCAGAGACAGCTGGTACGAAGTGCGCAAACAATGCTTACAGGAGATGGATTAGAAGCAAAACTACAGAAACTCATCCATAACCCTCAACCAGGGAATCCCTTACACAATTTGTGCAAGTTGTGTAATCTCCAACCCAGATCCCACTGCTGAAAGAAAACCAAACTGTAAGAGGACCCCAAGTATTTACCAAATCGGTATCTACTCCGACTTAATGTCCGATCCTGCTCATCGAGACCGCATCAACTGAGTGAAGAATCTTGTGGTGGTATCCACAAGGCTCCCTCCTCCCGCACTCACCTTCCCCACTTGACATTGAGCCTGCGACCGTTGACAATGAGCTTGTTGAAGGATTTCTCAGCAGCCACTTCCGCAGCTTGCCGGGTGGCGAACTGGATGAAAGCACACTGTTGCCTCTGCACTACAGTTATCGTCCGAATCTCCCCAAACTGGTAGAAGTGATTTCTGTGGGGGGAAAAAAAATGATTATGAAACCCCACTCCTCCTAGCCGCAGGGTACGTAGGATCTCATGTGCTGAAACAGATATGCTCAGATCCTTTCTTTTTGCCATCACCAGTTCAGACTAACCATTAGAAATCAAAGTCTCTTGTGCCGCTGTGCAAGTATGGAGCAATAAAAACTCTACAGCAGCTTTTCTCAGCAGCTAGCTAGAGAGAGGCTACGGACTTCCTTGTGAAAAGTGTAACACAGTATCCCCAACAGCTCAGAAGGATGACTCATCTTTAAGGAGAGAAATTCTAATCAAAGCATTTGAAATGTGCCTGTTTATCTGTTCTCCAACAAGCTGGCACGGCTCTCCAACAAGCTGGCGCTCCTCTGCACTTGCCCACCAACCAGTTCCCCATTAAGGAAAACTGAAAACCAGATTTATTTTTTCCCTTGCAAGAGAGATTTCCTCACTTCAAGATCAGCAGTAATCAAAGCATCAAGTAAAAAGGCAAGGGCAATACAAATTCACCAACACACCTGAGATCCGATTCGGTGATAGTATCTCCAAGCCCTCCAACATACAGTGTAGTAATAGTCTTGTCATCAGGGGGGTCTAGACGAGGCATGGTTGATGCTCGTTTCAGAAGTTTATCGGCCACAGGATCATTAATTCCATAGTAACGATCTTTGATGTTCTGATCAGCCAGAGGATCGTCTGGATCTGTAGGCTTCTCATGTCTAAGGTTCAGAAAACAAAGCATTTCGTAACACCAGTCAGAGCCGCATCAGATTAAAATGACTGTAACTGCTACCTTCCCTTCTAAAGGCCTCTGGTCACTTATACACTTATCCCTGTTCACATAAACATGCCAAAATGGAACAAAAAGCTCCGAGAACTTAAATTGCAGCCAGGACTGCCTCGAGTGCTGAATGAATAGCACTTCTGACAGCTCAG